AGTGTGCAGCAAAATATATGTATACTGTGATGCTCATTTATCATATAATATCTTCCATCGTATATATAAATGTGTACCTGGTAGTATTTGACATGCCCCTAGAGGTTGTAGGTTATGGAGTTATGCACTATAGAAATATTCAAATTTCAAATATTTCATGACTATATATTTAAAATATGCATAAAAAAGACTGTTTAAAACAGTTGATTCTCAAACAGAATTTGTTCTGTATAAAAAAAAACATACATTGGTTTTTGGGCTCTCTATATGGATACCCATAGTCAATACAACACGGTAAATAATGTCTCTCTATATGGATACACATAGTCAATACAACATGACAAATACTGTCTCTCTATATGGATACACATAGTCAATACAACACGGTAAATACTGTCTCTCTATATAGACACATAGTCAATACAACATGACAAATACTGTCTCTCTATATGGATACACATAGTCAATACAACATGACAAATACTGTCTCTCTATATGGATACACATAGTCAATACAACACGGCAAATACTGTCTCTCTATATGGATACACATAGTCAATACAACATGACAAATACTGTCTCTCTATATGGATACACATAGTCAATACAACACGGCAAATACTGTCTCTCTATATGGATACACATAGTCAATACAACATGACAAATACTGTCTCTCTATATGGATACACATAGTCAATACAACACGGCAAATACTGTCTCTCTATATGGATACACATAGTCAATACAACATGACAAATACTGTCTCTCTATATGGATACACATAGTCAATACAACACGGCAAATACTGTCTCTCTATATGGATACACATAGTCAATACAACATGACAAATACTGTCTCTCTATATGGATACACATAGTCAATACAACACGGCAAATACTGTCTCTCTATATGGATACACATAGTCAATACAACATGACAAATACTGTCTCTCTATATGGATACACATAGTCAATACAACACGGCAAATACTGTCTCTCTATATGGATACACATAGTCAATACAACATGACAAATACTGTCTCTCTATATGGATACACATAGTCAATACAACACGGCAAATACTGTCTCTCTATATGGATACACATAGTCAATACAACATGACAAATACTGTCTCTCTATATGGATACACATAGTCAATACAACACGGCAAATACTGTCTCTCTATATGGATACACATAGTCAATACAACATGACAAATACTGTCTCTCTATATGGATACACATAGTCAATACAACACGGCAAATACTGTCTCTCTATATAGACACATAGTCAATACAACACGGCAAATACTGTCTTTCTATATGGATACACATAGTCAATACAACACGGCAAATACTGTCTCTCTATAATAGACACACAGTCAATACAACATGGCAAATACTGTATCTCTATATGTATATCATAGTCATAACAACATGGCAAATACTGTCTATCTATATGGATAGCCATAGTCAATACAACATGACACATACTGTCTCTCTAAATGGATACCCATAGTCAATACAACATGACAAATACTGTATCTCTATATGGATACCCATAGTCAATACAACATGGCAAATGCTGTCTCTATATATGGATACCCATTGTCCATACAGCAGGGCAAATACTGTCTCTCTATAAGGATACTCATTGTCCATACAACATGGAAAATGCTGTCTCTCTATATGGATATCATACTCAATACAACACGGCAAACACAGTCTCTCTATATGGATACCCATAGTCAATACAACACGGCAAATACTGTCTCTATATATGGATACCCATTGTCAATACAGCAGGGCAAATACTGTCTCTCTATATGGATACTCATTGTCTATACAACATGGCAAATGCTGTCTCTCTATATGGATATCATAGTCAATACAACACGACAAACACAGTCTCTCTATATGGATACCCATAGTCAATACAACATGACAAATACTGTTTCTCTATATGGATATCATAGTCAATACAACACGACAAACACAGTCTCTCTATATGGATACCCATAGTCAATACAACATGACAAATACTGTATCTCTATACGGATACCCATAGTCAATACAACATGGCAAATGCTGTCTCTATATATGGATGCCCATTGTCCATACAGCAGGGCAAATACTGTCTCTCTATATGGATACTCATTGTCTATACAACATGGCAAATGCTGTCTCTCTATATGGATATCATAGTCAATACAACACGGTAAATACTGTCACTCTATATGGATCCCCATAGTCAATACAACACGGCAAATACTGTCTTTCTATATGGATACACATAGTCAATACAACACGGCAAATACTGTCTCTCTATATGGATACACATAGTCAATACAACACGGCAAATACTGTCTCTCTATATGGATACCCATAGTCAATACAACATGACAAATACTGTTTCTCTATATGGATATCATAGTCAATACAACAGCAGCAAACAGCAGCAAAATATATATATTCTGTGTATATATATTATATATTCTGTGTTATATATATACCCATTTATCATATAATATCTTCCATTGTATATATAAATGTGTACCTGGTAGTATTTGACATGCCCCTAGAGGTTGTAGGTTATGGAGTTATGCACTATAGAAATATTCAAATTTCAAATATTTCATGACTATATATTTAAAATATGCATAAAAAAGACTGTTTAAAACAGTTGATTATCAAACAGAATTTGTTCTGTATAAAAAAAACACCATATATTGGTTTTTGGGCTGAAATATCTATCCTAGGTATTATTATTAAAAAGAGTTATACAATACTTATCCACAAGTTTGTTAGTCTTTAGCCCAAATTTTAAGCTCATGTATCAATAATCTGAATATTTCTCTTGGAATCTGCTTCAAACTTTGGGATAAAGTCCAGTTACCATATGCTCCCCTTTGTGATAAAATTCATTTGGAAAGGAACTGAAATATAAGACATTCTTCATTTTTGAAATTATATCTAAGTTCCCTAGTTTATGATCTAGTGCCACTTTTCATAACTAAAGATGATGAGATTAATTTGATCTAATATTTGCTATAGTGATATTCCGTCTTTGCGTATTGCAGAGTTATCTTCTCTTATGAGCAGGTATTGATGTTACGTCATTTGTTTGTGAGAGTAACGTCATCAGTTTTTGAGAAAACGACGTAGTTTTCTCACACAAACCAATGATGTAACAATCAATACCTGCTCACAAGAAAAGATAACTCTGCAATACGCAAAGACGGAATGTACACATACATGGTATATTCCGCATAAAAATTTGATTTTTTTCTTGGACTTAAAATTAACCTAGAGAGGTCAAGTAAGCTCAAATGTGAAATTAAGCAGTTAATGTTCTGGGTATAATAAATTGTATTTCATTATGAATATTATTCGTGTATTTTAGATTTGATAATATCTGGTAGATTGCAAGATTCTTTACCACCAGGTCTAAATTAACATATAGGACAGTCTTTGAAAAATGGCACACAATCTAAACCAACTACTTGGGGTGGGTAAGGGGATCCCGAGATTAACTAATTTAATCGGTTTGGAGGAACACTGAACAGTTGTACATATCCTTTAACTGTTAACTCACAAAATACATGATCACAAACTTTAAACCATGAATTTATAACACATTATAATCAGCAGAAATCACTGATGTGAATAATAAATGTTGAATCAACTAACTCAGCTTTTTCTACCATCAACTATCTGTAGCTTTACCTCAAACTTGCTGTACTAGAATTCTTCAATAAGGCTGTGTACGAAAAAGAACATAAATCAAGATGAGTTTTAAAATTTCACTTTATTTTTGAGTATGTGGTGACTGATAATGACAATAATTCTGCGCACTTACCGAGTTCGGCATTACAGCTGCACTACTGGACCCTCACCATATACATCCTCAGCAAACTACTTTCATTTGTCTCATTCTGGTTGAAAATGACGTGCAACAGATTAATAAATGACAGTGAACTTCACCAATAAGAACTATTTCTGAACCTTTTTCCTTTTTAATTAAACACAGCAACTTCACAGACAATTTCCCAATGGCTTTTCGGACACTCGAGTTTCTTTCGGAAAAGTTTATAACTCGGGATTATTCCAGCCATTTTAGTATATATTAGTGTGTGCTTCCTAACACCAATCTTTCAAAATTTATGCGTTAATATAATAATTAATATTTAAATGTATTAACTAAACTTATTGATGATATTTTATATTGGTGTTAGTTATACTTGCTGTTGAAAAATACGAAACTTTGCGTGCGCAAAAACTAGTTTGACACATTTCCCGTTTATAACATTCGGCACACAGGTTATCTAAATGTGTAAATCTTGAACTATAGTGTATAAATACAGGTTTTATCAAGTACTCTGTCTTGGTGAAATGTAAGTAAAAACATATATCACAATGTACACTTAATTGTATTATAAAATAAAATCGTTTTCGTGCACATCATATCATTGTTATTATATAATTTACAAATATATTTAAACATGTATGTAACTTATTTAAGTGAATGAGTTCTCGAATCTTGCACCGCTCCATGATATTACTTTTCAGTGCAGCGGCCGGTATGAACAGCTTTCAAGCATGTGTAATATTCTTCATTTTGCCCTCTTGTAATCATAAATACCATTATAGTTTACGAAAATATGGATAAGTACACATTCAATAAAACATTCGAGTTATGACACATGGTTTGACACATGTACATGCAAGGTAAATTTTACATTTCCATATACGTGTATGCGTAATCTTAAGTTGATAATGGGCCCAAACAATAAGTCTCCGAAAAGATACAATGTTGTACACTTCCTCTGAAATCAAGGATGACACCGACATCAAACGCTCTATGTACCTGTACTAATCATCCGTTTTGTATGTGTACGTCTACTACAACATTGTGTATCGTGAAGGAATGTTATCAACGTATAGATAAGTCTCATGACTGATAACGCGGTGTTTGTCGTCACAGACAACACTCGGTTGTAATACAAGCTATGGCGAACACTATGTGAGTATTGTTAAGTAGACTATAAATATGTATAATACAACGTAGGGATTATCACAATTATATAAGTATGGATAATCGGCAAGAAGGTTTATTATAATTTGTAACTACATTATGTTAAAGGTGTATGTGTATGATAAACAATGTATAACACAAAGAACCTATAGTCAAAACAACATGACAAATACTGCCTCTCTAAATGGATACCCATAGTCAATACAACATGGCAAAAACTGTCTCTCTATAATAGACACATAGTCAATACAACATGACACATACTGCCTCTCTAAATGGATATACATATAGTCAATAAAACACGGCAAATACTGTCTCTCTATATGGATACCCTTGGTCAATATAACATGGCAAATACTGGCTCTCTATATGGATATCATAGTCAATACAACATGGCAAGTACTGTCTCTCTATATTGATACCAATTGTCAAACTTGATAAACAATCCACTTTTTGTGGATACTCCCAGTCACAATCTCATGCAACATGATAAGCAATTATAGATACACAATATTTATGGATACTCCTTGACACACATACACATACAGCATGACAAACAATCCACAGTTTTAGAATACTCCTAGACACATCATTATACAACATGACAAATAACCCATATCTTAATTATACTACTAGACACACACTCATACAACGTGACAAACATTCCACAAATTAATGATACCCCTCGACTCATACTCATACAACATCACAAACAATCTACATTTAAAGGATACCACTAGACATACACTCATACAACGTGACAAACATTCCACAAATTAATGATACCCCTAGACTCATACTCATACAACATCACAAACAATCCACATTTAAAGGATACCACTAGACACACACTCATACAACGTGACAAACATTCCACAAATTAATGATACCCCTAGACACACACCCATACTACATGACAACCATCCACAGTTTAAGGACACTCTTTGTCAAACACTAATACAACATGACAATGACCATATTTTAATTATACTACTAGACATACACTCATACTACATGACAAACATTCCACAGTTTAAGGATACTCCTAGACACATACACAATTACTCATATAACAAGACAAAACATCCACAGTTTAAGGATACTCCTAGACACACACTTATACTACATGAAAATCAATCAACAGTTTAAGGATACACCTTGACACACACTTATACAACATGACAAACAATCCACAGCTTAAGGGTACCCCTAGTCACAAACTCAAACAAAGTGACAAATAATCCAAAGTTTAAGAATACATCTTGACACACACTCATACAACATGACACACAATCCACAGTTTATAGACGTATATCCATATATTTAATTCGATTTGAATACTGTGTTTATTCATAACAGTATATTTAATTCTTCTTGACACAAATTTTACAACTATATTAAATAACGCAAAGTTTGTATTTTTTTCTCCAAGGATTTTTTTTTTCTCTGTAGAAACATGAAAATATTAAGCCAGCCTAATTAAATGTATATTACCTAGTAATAAATGTATCCATGTGTCATGAGATGAGTTGAAATAAAATAAAATGTATGTATGTAAATATTGTATTCAATGTCTTCAAATATCAAAAGTATGCTGGAAGCCATGGAGAGAGCTTATATAGGCAAAGCCTGCTGCTCAATCCTTTTGTTTAATCAATAAAATATATTTGAAATGATATGACAAACAATCCACATTTTAGGGATACTACTAGACACATACTCATACAACATGACAAATAATCCACATGTTAAGGATACACCTAGACACACTCATACAACATGACAAACAATCCACAGTTTAAGGACACTTCATGTCACAAACTCATACAACATGACACACAATCTGCAGTTAAAGGATACTTCTTAGACACACATTCATAAAACATGACAAACACTCCACAGTGTAAGGATACTCCAAGACACACACTCATACAACATGACAATCAATCCACTCTTTATGGATAATCCTTGTCACACAAATTCATACAACATGACAAAAAAAAAAATGTCACACAAATTCATACAACATGACAAACAATCCAATCTTTATGGATACTCCTTTTTTCAATGATTCAAAGTGTGGTTTTTTTCGAAGCAATGATGTGGTTTTCTAGTTATATGGTCATTTTTAGAACGCCAATTTTGTAAGCCGTATGAATGTCATGGTATGAAAGATTCCGAATTGTCATAAAATGCAAAACAGATTGGCAGGCATCGTTTGACACGTCTCTCCAGCAGTAAGATTCATGAAACTTTCACCTCTTGAAATTCCGGAAAGGTTTTACACTTGACAAGACTGTGTCTGAATACAAATGTTTAATGATTGCGTTTTCTTTGTGTTATGATGCCTGTATTGATTTACCTTTGATGCATTAGTGCTAATGCCAATTTTATTTCAAGTTGTGCGATCTTAATGAAGTTTTGTATTCTTTTCCCCCTTTTTTATAAACTGAACCTGAAACCTTTCCCTTCTTTCCCCCTTTTCATAAACTTTTAATGAAACTGAAACATCTCTTTTTTCCTCCTTTTTTTATAAACTTAAAATGAAACTGGAATTTCTCTTCTTTCCTCCTTTTTCATAAACTCAAAATGAAATTGATTTTTTTCTTTTTTCATCCTTTTTTATAAACTTCACATGAAACTGAGACTTCTCTTCTTTCCTCCTTTTGCATAAACTGAAACTACTAAAACTGAAACCATCAACTATTGGATAGCTGTTTTAAAAATCACTATACCTGCCATGTTTGACGTCATCGTAATAATATTAATACGTATGTCCTGAAACTAAACAGGAAACATTCAGGAGATGATCGCCCGTATAACATTGAATTGTAATGTATAGATGTAATTTTATTTTTATTTCGTCAAGGTCTACTGCCACGAGCCTAACGAGCAACACTACCAGCTCAAGCTGTATAGAGGAACTCCTATATAACTCGTACCTGCGGGATGCATATGTAGCTGTAATTGCGGTAAATATTATCAATTATTGACTTTTGTTGAGGTGAATATGTGAAAAAGTGATATTAACCGAAACGAATTATAGGTCAATAACAATCTCTCAGGTCGATATAACCACAAATATATTCACCGAATTTAAAGTACTCTATTGTTACAAAAGATGCTTAATTATATTTCAAACATTAAACAAGATGAAACGTAATACAATTGTACGAAGGAAAGTATTGCGTCTTTTGTTCGACAAAACAGAATAGTAATTATATTTCTTTGTTATGAAAGTCGAAGGTCTAACGCTTCAAATATGGACTTTAGCGTAAAATCTTGGCAAAATCGGAAAACAATTATCTCATTCAATTTTTATATACCCACCCTTTATCAAGTCACGGGGTTTATCAAAATAAATGCTGCAAAACGGTGGTTCTTTAAAACGAATTTTGTGAACGAATTGGGATATTGTAAATTTGATAATCATAATCCACGATGGTATCCAAAGCAATAAAGGCGTCACATCAATTGCGTTGTTAGACAGATATCATCATAGAGTCTCACAAATATCAAAAAAGTGACATCACTGTGTACGTGTCTCACATATAATAAACATGTGATGTCAATGTGTCTCGCATATATTAAACATGATATCATGATTGTGACCAACAAATATCAAAAATGGGACATCAATGTGCATGAGTCTTATACATATTAAACATGTGATGTCATTGTGTCTCACAGATATTAACAGATGATGTCAGTGTGACTCACAGACATGAAACATGCGTTATCATCATTGTGACACACATACATTAAACATGTTTTATCATCATTGTGTCTCACAGATATGAAACATGCGTTAGCATCATTGTGACACTCATACATTAAACATGTTTTATCATCATTGTGACTCACAGATATGAAACATACGTTATCATCATTGTGACTCACATATATTAAACATGTGTTGTCATTCTTTTCCCCTTCTCCAGTTAAAGTGCAGGCCCTTGAAGTATTATCGCACTGGATTGGCTGTAAACGTAAAACAATTGTTGTTATACTCTCTAAGCATCCGTATCATACTCAATAGGAACCACGTTTTTATTACTATTTTGTTTAGATCGGTCTGATGTTCGTCCTGCCCTGGTTTGAGAAGCGGAGGAATACTAGCCAGACCGGATGTTTTGGAGGAAGACCGGGTTGCCTTATGTTAGTATATGTGATCACAGATTGTTCTCTGCTAGTGAAATGCACTAGCACATTGTTTAACAACTACCGCTGTTTGTCAGGTCAGATATATGAAAGTACCATTTAAAATGTAAACGATTCAGTTGACAAAACTCCTGATGAACAAATTAGACTATTAATTGAACGTTAATTCCATCGTAAGATTTACCTGTGAGTATATATCTGTGATAATATGGGAACATAAGAAAACGTAAGACAAATACGAACATTCAAACCTTTTATACGGGATTATCTAGTAACGGGAATTCAATTGCATTTTTTCTAAATAAACGTTTTGATAATACATTAGGTAGATATTACTGTTGTTATACACTTAACCTTTTGAAGTTCCTGGTTTTGTTGATCTCTCTTCCTTATACTTTTGGTTGGTCTTTACATTAATCATGAATTCGAACATAATATTTTGCTTACATAAGCTAACTTTATCTGATATTTGTCTAAATAAAACTTCTCTTTTAGCTATAATATTATTAAAATTGTAAAGTAAACTAAGTGTAATTTGTTCTTGTAACCTCGTTTTAACATACCTGCGGACTTTCTATGTCCCTGTAAGCATAGGCCTGTGTACTTGTTCTTTTGTTTTTTATATTGAAATGCAAACTTGTTTTTATGTCGCTGTAATTATATATATTTGAATTTCTTCTTGTGTCCTTGTATTTATATATTTTTTAACTTTGTTTTAGTGTCGCTGAAGTCATATACATGTGACCTTCTTGTATTCTTGTATTCATTGATCTGTGAACTATTTATTTTTTGTCGCTGTATTCATATACATGTGAATTTCTTCTTTTGTCCTTGTATTCATTAACCTGTAAACTTAGTTTTATTTCCCTGTATTCATAGACCTGTGAATTTGTTAGACGGAGACCGGGATAGACTTTCGTATGCTGCAGCGTTCGGCTGTACGTCCTCCTCCATCTTTAATCTCCTCGCGACAAGCATCCGTTCACAGATAAGCACCACTTCCGAGCAGTTGTCAGCTCTGGTATTCTGTAAGTATGGCATTTATCCGATACGACAAATGCGAAAAAATCAAACCAAATCGGAAGAGGGCGCATTATTTGTATTCTAGCTATGTAGAGTCAATAATCTAGAAATCGTTTCACTGTCTCATTACAAAAATATTATGAGGGTCCTGGCATAAGCGTTGTTTTTTGTGAAGTTGCTAAAAATAAAACAATTCCCAAAATTTATCTTTCAAACGTCGTTTTAAATTTCTAACAACCTAAACACTCTTCACATTGCAAACGCCATATTCGACACCTTACAAACGTAACCTTCTTCATAGTCATCGCCTTACAAACGTAACCTTCACCATAGTCATCGCCTTACAAACGTAACCTTTTCCATAGTAATGGTGTTAAGACGTAACATTTCCAAAGTCATCGCCTTACAAACGTAACAGTTTCCTTAGTCATCGCCTTACAAACATAACATTTCTATAGTCATCACCTTACAAACGTTACATTTCTTTAGTCATCACCTTACAAACATTACGTTTTCCATAGTCATCGTCTTTCAAACGTAACATGCCAATAGTGATCACCTTACAAACGTACCATTTCCATAGTCATCACCTTACAAACGTAACATTTCCATACAGATTATCTTACAAACGTAACATTTCCATAGCGATTACATTACAAACGTATTTTAAAACGTATTTTAAAATCGTTACATTTCCATAGTCATCGCCTTACATACGAAACATTTCTATAGTAACCACCTTACAAACGTAACATTTCTAAAGTAATCACCTAACAAACGTAACATTTCTATAGTCATCACCTAACAAACGTAACATTTCTATAGTCATCACCTAACAAACGTAACATTTCTATAGTCACCACCTTACAAACGTAACATTTCTATAGTCACCACCTTACACACATAACATTTCTAAAGTAATCACCTAACAAACGTATCATTTCTATAGTCATCACCTTACAAACGTAACATTTCTATAGTCATCGCCTTACAAACGTAACATTTCTATAGTCACCACCTTACACACACAACATTTCTAAAGTAATCACCTAACAAACGTAACATTTCTATAGTCATCACCTAACAAACGTAACAGTTCTATAGTCACCACCTTACAGACGTAACATTTCCATAGTGACCACCTTACAAACGTAACATTTCTATAGTCACCACCTTACAAACGTAACATTTCTAAAGTAATCACCTAACAAACGCAACAGTTCTATAGTCTTCACCATACAAACGTAACATTTCTAAAGTGATCACCTTACAAACGTAACATTTCTATAGTCACCACCTTACAGACGTAACATTTCCATAGTG